TTACTACTAGTAAGGCACTTGTTACTAGTAGCGTGGCACTTGTTTCTTCTTCAGTTTTTTCCTTGAAATTCTTGCTCAATTTTGTCAGTCGTGATACCAGGCACGACGCTTCAGTTCCGAGTTTGAGCAACAGCAGTGGAGTGCGTTTCTCAGTTGCCATACCTGTGAGTTCGATCAAGTAGTGTAGCGGGGAAATAGGTGCCGCTGACAACGGCAGCTGTGTTGGCAAAGCTGGGACTAATCTCTTGGGGTTTCGGAAGCCTTCGCTTTGCGTCGCTGTGAACATCTCAAAATCTCTCACTTTCTTCGATCGGTGCATGTGGGCTGTTCCTAGAGTTTGTAGCACACAGCAGACTCGTTCTCCCAAGCTCTTGAAGTTTGGTTCCAGCTGGGGAAAGACTGGGTGTAAATCAAACCCGGAGTCACTGGACAACTGGCTATTGATTGTACCTTTGATATGCTTCATTGCAGACAGGCTCTACTATTTTGGAAACAGTCACATTTAGCCCAACAGTTTTTGCCTGTTTGCATCTTGCATTTCCATTCAGGTGCACCCAGTTCTGGCATGTGTTCAATTTGTTGTTTTGCCTCTAAGTCGTAATTTCTGAATGAACAGAGTTGGTCAAGCATTTGAGCGAAGCGAGTACTTCTGGCCGTCTTCTGAAAGGTGACATCTTTCGTGTGCCTTATATTTCAAACCCTGGTGTGCCAAAGACTGATGAGACGTCGGGGCGCTTGATGGGAGTTCTCGGGCGCAAGTGACTTCAAGAGTTTGCAACGCTGAGTGAATCAGTCAGAACGATGCTACTTCAGTTGGTAACCTTTTGGTCGTTCAGCTGTGGAGTATTGAATAGACTCACCAACCTCAAAGCAGGGGCTTTCGAAGGGCGAGTGAAGATCTCAGCAACGCCAGGTCCAGTAAGGTTTCGGGCAGCCGAGCACGCTCTGCCGGGATCAAAGCTTCATTTTTTGCCTGAGTTTGGTGCACCTGTGAGTTCATAATTAGCCTTTAATGGTCTCATTGTCATGCACTCTGCAGCTGTTCAAGGAATTCTCTGTTTTGTCTTGCCCTGCCGCCATGAAATTTGCCCGATGCATCGGGCGTGCGCCTCAATCTGCACAAGTTGCGGCATTGGCCAGAGGCCGAAGGCCTTTTTCAACTAAGGCCCGTGGTTTGTTTCAGATGTTCAACCCATTTTGGGCTAGCCAGAGATTGTGCACTGTCATTTTAGTTATGCGCAAGCAACTTTGTGATTGAGATGGTGTCGACATAATGTGACGACCGTCTGACGTTTTTGTGCCAGCTGCATGCGGCCAATGCCCCAAGCCATGTGGCTGGAAGCGAGCTTCCCTTCGCGGAGCTAAAGCAAAAGCCGATGACTCACACTACTCACTTGGGCAGGCTTGGCCGGGCTTGGGAGTTCTCCAATAGTCTCGTCAACCCTTTCTTTGGAGAACTCGTGAAAAGAAGCAACCAGCCAGTTGAACAGGTGCTGTCTCAGTTGCCTCTTTCAAGCCAATTTTAAGACTCGCTTTTTGATCTTTTGGAGTTCTTTGCTCGACATGTTCCAGGCACCGTGCCATCAACTTGGCAGCGGGGGCTGCTGCCCTTCCATTGGAGGCTTGGCATACACACACAGAGCAGGGAAGGAGTCACGATTGGTCAGGCCTCAAGTCTGAGAAGCCATGCACATGATGACGGATTTCTTCAATCTCTTTCGTTCTATTTGCAGACTCTTCATTTGACCAGCAGGTTTTAGAGCGTGCTGCCAGCAGCTTTGTAGAAACTGATCACAGTGGCATGAGCAGCTTGGTGTTTATGGAGTTCAGTTGGTGACCAGGTTCTGCAATTAACGAAAGCTTGACAGCCTCTCAGATGCCGCAGATGGCTTTGTTCGATGGATTTGAATGCTCAAGGTGTGGCAGAGATGGGCTACCGTACGAAGCCCTTCCACCGCATCATGGAACGAGCAGAAACATCTTTGCGGAACTTCTTGAGCATCCCTGATAGTCATGAGGAAGGGCCGGAAAAGTTTGTCCACAGTGATGAGCTCTAATCATTAATCCTTTGAACCTTCGTTGCCCTTTCCAATGCTCCATTACGCCTTCCATCCATTCTTACCTTCTTGTGCAGGTGCACTTTTTCAATGGCGGTGCAACCCTGCAGTTTGCCGCCATCCCGTTGAACCTTCTAGGCGGCCGGAGGGAGCATATGGAAACTGTCACTGGAAGAGTCGCCGGCCAAAACCAGTTTGTTTCAAAAAGGTCGTTTGTCAAACAGTCACAGGCGGCCAAAATGAAGGAAAGAAAGCGTTCAGGCCTCAGAGCAAATACACTGGCTAGAGGCAGAGATCTGATAAGCTATCTCGTGCTGGAGCTTTCAACGAGAATCCTCACCCAAGGAACTACTTGATGAGTGGCCACTGGAGCGAAAAGGCACGAAACGAGGCGTCGCTCTTTGGTGAGGTGCACGAAGTTGCTGTCGATCCCCAAGGCCAGCCGATGACATCGCTTTGAGGAATCTAAGTTTGCATTCTTTTATATACTGTATAACAAAAAAATATATACTAGGTGCAGATGACATTATGAGTTGTGCAACGATCTCCAAGTCACCACCTTTCCTATGTCATCTGTCCACGGTCTCCAAAAAGAGAGGACAGACATGTAAAAAAGCAAAACGCATCTCATTTGTTCAAATCCTCAGAATCTCGGATTCCAAGGTGGCCCAAGCCCTACAGAGTCCATGACAAGAACCAAATCGCTCATGTGGTTGTGAATAGGTCAGAGTCCCATCTCATGTATCCGCAACCTATAATGCCGGGATTGACAAACAGGTAGTGGTTGATACCACCCATAATGTACCATTCAAAAAAAAAAGAAAGTGCATCTCATGTGTTCCCGGCATTTGTCACCTTCTCAAGGTATGTATCTCATGTGCATACGGTGCGTTCCAAAACTGACCATAAAGTCCTGTGTGATCTGCCCCTAGTATAATGTATATATATACATATATTATGGTTTTAAGGGGGGTAGAGGTGAGGTAGGTAGGTAGGTAGGTAGGTAGAGGTCGGTAAGCTAGCTAGTAGCTAGAGGTAACTTATATCTACAAGGAAGCTACTACATATGGACGCAGGATAGCTCACGCTTCTTGAAGCTTCCCTGAAGAAGCGCTCGCACTACTCATTTGGTTCCTAGATTTTTAGGGAAACTTAACACTAGAAGGACGACATGCACACGGTGAGGGAAGATCACATGCTGCTTGAAATGAATGCTGGAGGAAGGTGCACAAACACACGGAGCATGCACTCCCTGCAAGGTTTATACTTCGAAATCCCGAGCAGTATCTTGGCTGCAAGGAATAGCATCATCCGTGGACAACAAAAAAACACTTAAAACAAATCTGAAATACATATCACCCAAGCATCAAGTTCTTGAGCATAATGATTTGCTCAGGCAAAACCTGGGAGATCGACCAAAATGCTGCGTATTTCCACTACACTTCTGCTGACACCCGACAGGGCTTGGAGATCAGAGATTTTGATTTTGATGCCATTCCCTCAGGCTCGGACTTGATTCATTGGGTTGAATTGTGCAACCGTGACTGCAGAAGACGTCATTGCCTTTGGACTTCTTCATGGAAGTCACTGCGAGCTGTTTGGTGTTTCTCAAGAAAAGAATGCATCCACTGCATCCACGTGGATGCTGCACACTATATAGAATTTCATTTGGAGCTGATTTCTTCTTCGCAGAGGATTGTTTTGGTCGAGGGGCATATTCTCTCACGTGCAGGTATGCCAGTTTGCTGCGACGCATCCGTGTCTTGGCCACAACCCCCAATTGTGTGCCTAGCTTGAAACGAACACAGTGAGCAGCACATTAGACCGAAGTTGGATTAGCCACGGCTGAAGGCAAATCTCGGCAGCGCGCCGATAGACGTGTCCAAGCTGGGAGCCTCAGGGAAGTTTCGGTGAAGACGAGATACTATATAGTAGCTTCTTGTTCCTAGTAGTAAGAATGCTCCTAGTAGCGATGCCAGGAGCCCCTAGTAGCTTCTTGTTACTAGTTAAGTTTTCCTAAACATCTAGGAACTAAATGAATAGTGCGAGCGCTTCTTCAAGGAAGCTCCCCCCCGCCGCCTTTAGGGAGGCGGGGAGCTTCCTCGAAGAAGGGTGAGCTATCCTGCGTCCTAAGTAGCGACTTGTAAGCTCCTGGCGACTCCCTAACCTCTACTAGCTACATCTAGCTACTACCTCTACTCGGCCCCCGCGCTTAGAAAAGAAACCTTTTGTGGACGGTAGCACAAAGCTTGGAGACAGAGAGACAAAACTAGGAGAGACAACCTGATGTTTGGACGAGGTTCAATGAGTAGAAGGAGTGAACGAAGGCCTCTCAAGTGAGGCGTTTTCGGCAGGTATGGAGTCTTGTATGCTGCCTCGCACAAGAACTTCTCTACTGCGGGGGTTTGTTACTCCATCATTCGAAAAGATCCTTGTCGGCATTCGGACCAAGCCACCTTTGCTTTGATGTGCCGTTGCATTTCTCTTGATCAACGACACGTTGATAGGTCTACGCGTGGCGTTTTTGAATGCTTTGGATTGTCCAAGGATCTGATCTCTAAAGAGACTCAGATGAAAGCCATACCGACCATGTGCAACTGGAACACTTTTCAGAGTGCTCCCAACAAGATCTACAATGTGCCCGTGCTGATGTCCGTGTGGAATCTTGACAAGCTCTTATGACTGGGATCGATTACTGTAGCAAATGGTACTATATGCCTATATACTGTATCTGATGTACTTTCGCTGGGGAAATGGCTTGTCCCACTCTACTTGTGTTAGGACTTAGGACCAATCTATTATTGCCGATTGAAGTGCTTTCATCCGACCTGAATCCGGAAGTGTGGAGGAACATAGGACATTTTCTTTACCAAGATTCACATTCCCATATGATGATGACTTAATGCTGCCTCAGGATTGGTGCACTGAACACAGAGTGGATGATTGAGCGAGGTGGTGTAGAAGCATTCCAAGAGCTTGCCATCACTCGATCTGGCCTGCTTTATGCTGCTTGGCAAGCAGCGGTCTAGTGCTCGCGGGACTTCCTGACAAAAGCAAGGACGAATGAGGCGTTAAATGTACCCACGACCCCCGTTGCTTTTTTGGTATTGAAAGTGATTTGCCGCTATGCCGTAACAACCTTGACCCGAGGATTTGATCGACAATTCCGGCGGCTTCTACAATACCTTTGTCAACAATGAGGCTTGTGCTTTTCTGAAAGATCCGGAAAGGTCAATACATAAAACACGATCAGAAGACTATATGCGATTTTCAACAAACCAAGCTGAGACAGAAAAAGTGTCAAAACTGCTTCAGCTTCAGCATTTAGGCCTTCCGGTCGCGGATGCAAGTGGTCTTCACCATTGGAAGTGGAAAGGGCAGGGACCATGATCTAGTCGAGCCGCTTGGTCGGACAGTCGGAGTCAAGTGAGCATTTTCAGGGTAGCGGCAGCTCACGAGATCTCATGAGTACAAGAATATAGAAGTGATTGAGTGCATAGAATGCCTGGTTTCTGCCATGTGAAATGCTCAGGAAGTTCCTGCAGCGGGCCAACGATGAGCTTGGCTGGCTTGACATTCGCTCACATCCATTGGGCATGCCGTCTGATGCTATCAGGGCCTCATGATTGAACATTAGCAGTCATAGGAAGCACTTGACATTCTTTGTAAGACGACACTGCCTTCCAGTGGTTGGAGGCCATCGCTGTTAGGTTGGAGGCCATCGCTATAGGATCTATTAGGTTGGAGGCCATCGCTATAGGATCTATTAGGTTGGAGGCCATCGCTATTAGGTTTGAGGCCATTGCTAGTAGGATCTATTAAGTTGGAGGCCATCGCTAGTAGGTTGGAGGCCATCGCTATAGGATCTATTAGGTCGGAGGCCATCGCTATTAGGTTTGAGGCCATTGCTAGTAGGTTGGATTGCAACTGTTGTTGAAACAAAGCCATGAGCCGGGCACTAGCAGCTAGATTCTCAGGCTGGGAATCGATAGCAAGTCTAAATTGAAGTCATGACTAATCCGACGATTTTGATACCCGCTTTTGTCCGGACATGCGCTTCTTGCCTTCATTGTGAACCTAGACGTTCTTTCAAAGCAATTTCATCCAAGTACACATCTTTGAAGACCGGGTCGACCCTTCTCCGAGGTGACCATGTACAATCACCAGACTCTGGAAACCATCAAGGCATCAGAGAATAGCTTTGTTTTCAAGAAGCGAAGGACCCTTCAAAAAGGCTCCCTTAAAAACCTTCAACGCGTGGCTTATTCAAATGGCTCTTCCTTTTTGTTCCTTTTCTCTTAAGTTACTTCTGCGCAAGGTCAGTGAAACTGTGTCATTGACACTTGGGACTTGGGCATTAAAAGCAGGAAACTATTGAGACAGGCTTCGCTCGTTACGTGCTGATGATTCATGCGTGATCGGTAGGCATTAAGAGCACCTTTGCAAAACACACGCTTGCCAAACATTGCAAGTTTCTGGATGCATTGGCTGAATGTGTCAGACTTGGAATACTTTCTACTTTTTTTTGCGGGGGCTGATAGTTCATTCATGTTTGGCATGTCCCACAGCCAGTTTCCCAAAAAATCTAGGAATCACACGAATAGTGCGAGCACTTCTTCAAGGAAGCTCCCGCCGCCCTCAGGCGAGGGGAGCGTCCTTGAAGAAGGGTGAGCTTTCCTGCGTCCAGTAGTTAGTAGCGCCCTACTTAACATAGCTTAGTGGCCACCACGGCCTACCCGACCCCGGGCCTTAAAACATGGTTTCCTTTTTCGTACAAATATGATTCGCAGGTCGTCCGGGACTTCATGCATGAGTTCCAGTTGCTTGGCCACATTGCAAGTGCTTCTTGGGTGTTTCTTTGGAATACAGGTAGCTCAGGCATTCCGATGGGACTGTAGCGTCAGAGCGCATGCTCGAAGTGTTGCAAGTCATTCATCACTGTGTGATGGCTGTTGGGATGATCATGCCGCATGCCTCAGCAACTGGCTGGTGACACTGTTTCTTTTCATGGGTAAAGGAGTTGAATGCCTGATGCTGTTTTGGACCTACCAAAGGAAGCAGCATGTGGACGACTCAGTTTACTCTTTTGAGATTCCGAAGGACACGGGTCTCGCAAATTCAAAACTGCCGAATGCGGAAGCTGAGCGATGTAGTTACAGCGACATGATGACATCCGGAGATGTCCTTCCCGTGTTGTATTTTGCAAGGGATGTACTACAGATCCCATGTGGACATGGCATCATGTACTGTGACAGTACTGTTTGTACCGATGTGAAACATGTTACTGTAATACTTTGCTGCCTTGTCAGAAAAGTATTCTTTTGTTCTTTGAGGCGGGAGATGAGTGCTGGAAAGTTTTCAAATTCTTCAACACATCACCAAGGCTTCTTTGTTCAAACAGTTTGATTTGTTTGTGGTTGCATGCGGATTGACCGCTTGATCGAACATGTGTTGTGTTTCAAACACGTCTCCTAGACATGATATCAAAATGCAGTGAAGAACTCAAAGCTGTTTTGCCGACGTGGTAGGACAGCAGAGCGTCAGCCATGGCGTGATAGGAGACCTTGCAGCGGGGATTGTGGCATGCAACGTGTTGTGGAAAAGTTTAGAGACTAGAGATATATTAGGCCATCGCTTTTAGGTTGGAGGTCATTGCTCTTAGGTTGGAGGCCATCGCTCTTAGGTTGGAGGCCATCGCTAGTAGGTTGACCTGAGTGCGGATACATATATATATATAATATATAATATATATATATTAGATGTTGGAATCAAGTGCAGCGATTCTGGATGTGTGGAAACACCTGGCTCAGCTAAGAGCTTGCTTGCTGTTTGCTTTTGGCTGAGTTCACGCGAAAGGAGGATTCCACGAGTGCAATCTCGCCCAAGAAGCGATAGAGAAGCACATGAGTTTTGCATATTAACCTCACTTTCAGAACTTCTGCTGCGCAAGCAGCAAGGTGGGTCAATTGCCATTTTGACTCAAATCTCCTCTCCTCAGTGGGGTGGTCTTGGCAAATTCACGAGAAAGGGCGCACGCTCCATGCATGGTTGACGAATCGTTGACCGACATGGACTTCGTTGACGTCTCTTTGTCACACTGTCCCGACTTGTCCATAAAACTGGGGATTGCCGCATTGCCCGACCTGTCCGATCAGTCGGTGCATCACCTAGCAGGATTGCTGTAGGGTGATGTAGAGGGCCTTTTGAAACTAGCTTGTGCACATGCATCACGGCTAGCTGCTCAGCGAGTGAAACCACCGCTTTCTTGTCTCGCAGATTGCACTCAGGATAGCCCTTTCGATGAAGCAACATTGCACTTTCTCTTTCCGGGATTCCATCAAATCACATTTTTGATCGCTGGGTAAGGCTGAGGCATTTTCAATGGTTCTATGCACCAGGGTTTGTTGACAAATCATTAGTGCGAGGGCTTCTTCAAGGAAGCTCCTCCCCGCCCTCAGGCGAGGGGAGCTTCCTTGAAGAAGTGTTTGCTATCCTGCGTCCAGTTACCAGAAGCTAACTAGTTGCTTAATTAAGTAGGCGCCTACTTAGTTAAGTAGGAGCGGGCTTCAAACAAAACATAAAACACCGCCTAAGTTTCTGTGAAGGATTAGAGTCCAGAGCCACAGGTTTTTCCAAAGGAAGTCACTGCTCTCCTTGTTCTTCCATTCAAGTGCTACTGGCTTGAGTGCAATTTGTGAAAGCATTAGCTGCAGCTGTGAGAATCTCCAGACAAAAGAGGAGTATGGGCATGCTTTTCTTGAAAGGCGTCAGGATTTCCATCGATTTCAAGGATTGCCATCTAGGTACGAGCACTTGTGTGTGTGTGAATCACTTGCATTGGATGGAGGTTCTTTGGAGGTCACACAGTGATCTCAAACTGGGTTGACAAATGGATTTGACAAGATTCAAGATGCAGTCTGAGTATCTTCAAGTAACTCCGTCCTGTGCCTCTCAGGCTTCGCCAGGCCGCCGACCCCAGGCAGCGAAGGCCTCCAGCTGGATCCGAGAGGCAAGAGATGTCTGTGCCGTTGAAACGTCATGAAACGTCTGTTCCTGTTACTAGTAGCTTCTTGTTACTAGTAGTAAGGCACTTGTTACTACTAGCTGTTGAGACTGGTTGTTGAGACGGTTCTGTTTCCATGAGTCTTAACTTTGTGTGTCACGTTGCTTCCACGCTTCCCATGTGGCAGCTTGTTGCGATGAAGGTGCTCTTGCGTATCATTTCTTTAAAGAGATTGGAGTCTCAAGTTTCCCTAAGAATCTAGGAACCAAATGAATAGAAGCGTTCTACTAGCTACCTAGCTACCTCTTCTCGGCAGACCACCCCCCCTTTTTAAAGAAAGGATCAAGAAACCAGAATGCTCGAAGAACTCAAAGGCCCTTATATAGATATCATTATATAGATCAACTCACGATCACTGCTCAGGAGTTTGACACAGATCGTGCTGGTACAGTGACGGGAACCGTGCAGCCTGTCCAGTCCTCAAAGAAAGACCCAGACCTTTTGAAATTAACTTAATTTTAAATGAATAGCAAACATTGTTACTACTAGTAAGGCACCTGTTACTACTAGCGTGGCACTTGTTACTACTAGAAGGAATGAGATTTGCAAAGCAATTTTGCCTAGAAGCCGCTACACTGCTACACCATTCGGTTGCAACATGGGACAGTGGGTTCTAGTACCAGTGTCAGGAGTGAAGCACTTTGGTGACCAAGAAGCACTAAGGGTGCTCTATTGCCGGCGGATGCAGCACCTGAGCACTTCCGATTGTATGCTGCAGTGCAAAAGGAATGGTTCCAGTGTGGAAGCCTAGGTGAGAGTGGACTGGTCAGCCATCAGTTGTTGGAGAAAGGATTGTCCAGTGAAGTTTTGATGGTCAGTGGGAAGTGTCCCCAGGTACGACATCTATGCACGCGTTTGCATGCTCCTGGGCTTTTCTTCCTTCGTTCAGTCCTTGTCCTTCTATGGTTGGCCTGGCCAGATTCTGACAGCATACTGGGCTTCGCAAAGCTTTGCAAAATGTCTCAGGGAGAAAGACAATGCCTGAAACCAGTTTTGCAAACTTTGTTTGGATTCCTCCAATTTGGTTGGATGGCATGGAAAAACTATAATTTAGGCCCTGCACAGGTGGACTGAACACCAATCACTGACAATTGGCCCAAGGACGTGGGGAACATGTGCACTCAACTCAACTTAAAGATCCGTGTTAAGAGATGCACATGCAGGCTGCATGCAGCAGGACTGAGAGATAGACGCTACTAGTAACAAAGGGCATCGCTACTAGGAGCAAGGACGCTAGTAGTAGCTCCTGGCAGTACTACTAGGAACCTTTGCTGCGTACCCGTCGTTCCCATGGGCCCTCGCGGTTGGCCACGGCGACATCGAGTACATCACATAGCAAGCAAAGCTCCCCACCAAGCGAAGGGCGGCCTCTTTGAAGCTTTGCCACGGCGCGAGGTCAATGTGGAGCAGTTGCCCGGTTTGGGTCAGTCGATGCTGGATCGTGGCCGTGAAACTCAAGAAAGACATCCCAAGAGAAAGCAGGTGGATGTGCACTTGCATCTTCCAGTCAAAGGTGCTTTGGGATGCCCAGAGAACATTCAGGATGAACTGAGGAGCATCTCCATGAGTCGAGCGCCTCGCATCGCACCTGCAAGATTCTTAGACGAGCCGCGACTTTGCAATTCACAAGGGACTTTTCTTTGGACCCGGGAATTGAATGCTTCGAAGCCCCTAGAACCTCAGCCAGAGAGCGAGACATTTTCCCATGTTGACGAAGCATTCGATGAGAAAGAGCCAGTGCTACCAACAGAATCGGGCCTTGCTCTGGAATTGGCTCCGACCTGTTCCTGGATGCGGCCCGGAGACGTTTTCGCTAAGCAGCCGACGACACATCATCTCTTTGATCTTCCACTTAAGGTTCATGGATGTACCTCTAAAGACGCGGATAGCTTCGCAAAGGATGTTGAGCTGCAGCTCGCTGTACCACGGCAGCTGAGGTGCTCCAGGTATTGACATATTTATTTGGGGCAATGTGCAAAGTCTGCAAAGATTTTCTGGAGAAAATCCGGGTTTTAGGCGATGTTGATGTGTTGGAGTAATTACTGTACTGTACAGCGGCTTGTAGCCGATCTGTTAAGGCACAGCGTCCGCAATCAAGTTGTGACTGCTGCAGGGACACAGTCCCGTGTATCACATGAGGGTGATGTGTAGCCGGGAAGTCCATCGGTGCCAAACTTGGGAGAAAAGATGTGCGCATGCCAACTTGTTGCTGTCGGAATGCGGAATTCGGAATTCGGGATTTTGGTTCTGGTTTAGGTTCTGGAAGTCTGGAAGTGACTCAACTGGCAGAAATCCACCGCAGTACCAGTACCATCCAGATGTCCCACGGCGCTCTGCAAACTCCTCATTCCATTACTTTTCCTTAGTTTTTCTCTTTCAACCTTCTCTGAGCGATGGGAAATCGCTAGCCGCTAGCAAGACTGTCCTGGCCAAGCCGTACGCCTTTGGACCTTTTGATTAAACTTTGATTCGTTTTGCACGTGTTCTTAGCACCGGACGGGGAAGGGAGAAACCGCAACGTGAATGAGAGCAACCGCTTCGGAAACAGCCATCACCTTCTCCCATCGTGCCAGCCAACGGACACATTGTGGTGGAACTGCGTGGCTTCTATGTGGCCCACGCCACAGCGTTTGTACTGGAGGCGGATGGTCGCTTTCAGCAACCGTGTGAGGGAATGCGCTGCCTGCGAAGAACATGTAAAACATGCACAAGACTTGATTGTTTGTGAGAAGAAATTGTTTTTCCAAGTTTATCCAGGATTCAGAGTCGCATTGAATGGTTCCAATGTCCTTTGAAGTTTCAATCCTTTGCTTAGCCTGCTTAGCTGCCTGCAGGTGCTCCATGTTTTGCTTCTTCGCTTTGACATCATCCAGGGACGTGTCAAGTGCCCTGGCCTGGAATCAACGTCCATGATTGACAAATCATAAAAGGAGTGAGAACACTTGCGAAAGATTGTGAAATTACAATCAAAAGCTGGTTGAAGTTCACATGACAGGTCTACTGATCGAACTCCTGCTTGGTTCCTTTGGCTGGGTCCCGCAGCCGTACTCTTTGCAACCGTTGGCTTGGGATCCCAGCAATCGGTAGAATTTTTGCGCATGCCAAAACTGATATTTGGATATCCCTGTGCCCCTGATTCTTGCTGCAAGACTCTGAGGTATGTCCTTGGACTTTCACGTTCACTTCAGCTTCGTTGTCGTGATCTTTACATGGACTGTATCCGAATGTCCAAACGTCTCAACCATCCTGAAGCAAGCCTGGGGCATCAGCTTGAAAGTATTTGCGCAACACTGAGTTGCAGAACAAACCTGATGCACCGATATACTTTCTTTGTTGCTGCAGTGGCAATCGATTGCTGTAGGTTTTGCTTGCAGCGATCGCATTTCGAAGACCATCTTAATGTACTAGTAGTAACAAGTGCATCGCTACTAGGAGCAAGGACGCTACTAGGGGCTCCTGGCCGTACTACTAGGAGCAAGTAGCTACTAGTAACAAAAAGCTATTAGGAAAGAATACACATTCATCCTGGAGTCGCCGTCCTGATGACCCACTCCAGGATTTGCATCTTCGCGGCCTACATTTGCCAGTGGCTCGCACACCCTTTTTTTACGTGGGGAAACCGCACGTGCTTCATATAAAACTGCAGACACGATTTTTTCTTCGATCGGAGGCCGTTGGTATACTTGAGTTCAAGTGCAAGGTTGGCTTCTTGAATTGCTTTCCCCAAGGTTCTGCTACCAGCTTCGCATCCTTGAAGTGATTTTGCCGGATGACATCCGCAATCCTCTGAAGTGCCCCAACAGCAGGTTCAGTCTCTTTCTCGCTATCAAATGGCTTAATCTGCTCGAGAGCGCCTCTTCAAGAACAGGCAATACTACTTCCCACATGCCCTCTACCCTGTGGCTCAAAACCTTAAAGTGCTGCTAGGATGGAAGAGTCGATTGGTGATGCTTGGTGGCCTTCCGCGTGGCGCTGCCCCTCTGCTTTTGCGTGCGCCCTGCATTGGGCGGTTTGATTGAATCGAAAGCACCCAATAGCAATGGCCTCCACCCTAGTAGCGATGGCCTCCAGCCTAATTGATGGGCACTGTTGCGGCCTCGACAATGTGACACATCAGGTGAGGATGAACAGAACACAGAAGCTGTGTTGAACGAGACGCGTTTTGGTCGCAAAAAAGTGTTTGCTTGTCAGGCACGTGCTGTATTTTGTGGCGCCCCCTGCCCGGCTGCAGCCGGGTCAGTTCGACTTGATGCGCGAGGCAGGCTTCGATTGATTTGTCAGTGATCTTTGTCAGCTGTTGTGAAGAATTGGGCGAACGAGGTGAAGGAAGGGCCACAGGGCAACGCCTTCGAGACAGCGGGTGTCCCTCTGATGGAGACCAAACCTGCGGACACGAGCGGGGAGACCTATGAGCCTGGAGAGGCTTTCATAGTAAGCAGAACGATATTGTCTAAACCGGCAGGGATGTGATTATGGGGGTTGTTCATTTGCGTGTGTACCCTGGATGAAACCTAGGTACGCTGTGCAGTATGATCAACCGCCATATGTTAGTGCTCATTTTTGGTGCACAAGGAACAGCAAGCAATAAACGAAAAGCAACAGCAAAGCACAGGAGGGACAGAGCCATCTCTACATTCTTCGCACTCAGGCGAAGCAAACCCAGGCATGTCAGCAGAGGAAATTGCTATGCAGGCCAGCCCTTAGCACTCGCATTCAAAGACTACTCATACTTGATGGTCTTTAGTCTGAGGGTGAGAGCGCGCGAGGGCAACATACTGGGCCACTAAAACGGCACTGTCAAAGCATCATGTTCAGCGCCTTGAGATTATTGGCCAGACTTGAACATTGCCTCCAATGCACCTTGCTTGATTATGCACAGGTGCAATACTTGGACCGTCTTTTTGACTACTTCCAGCTGGGGCCTAAGATCAGAGGAGTTTTGAATGGTCAGAGGAGTGATGTGAGAATGTGGAGGGATTTGGACATGCTGATTGATATTCCTTTCGAGCCTTTTTGCAAGTCTGGGGCACACTTGCCATTTGTGCACATTACAATATCAAAGCTGCTCAATTAGCTTTGCTTCTATGGCCACAGCATTCTACACTTTCAGGTAGCAAATCCATTAGCAAACAAGAAAGGACTTGGCGAGGACACTTCAATCGAGCCAGGTTTTTGGTTGAGGAGAAAACCAGGTGCACAGTGCACACCTTGCTTTCGGAAAGCATCGATTTGATATTGGAGAAACTGTTGCAGGTCAGATCAGGTCGACGCAACTCTGTCTGAGACCAACAAGGAGCGTGTGAAGGCGCACACCGTCACAGTCAAGCGACATCTCCCTCAAGAGGTGTACCATGGAGAGGTGTACCGCTTGGCCAAGTTTTAAGCTTCGTTAGCCAATCTCAAGTCACCATATCGCTTTTTGAAACTGCATTGCTGATCGCAATCAGACTTTGTGCGCAGAATGTCTCCAACCAGATGATGATCCATTGCCACCGGCATTTCAATTTATGTTCCTTCTGATCACGAAAGGTAGCTTGAGCTGCCTGAGTTCTCCTTGCTTTAGCAAAAATGTATTACAATCAGGAGTTGGGATTGTGCATTGAGTTTGGTCCTGCAAGAGTTGATTCTGTTCGTCGGGGGGGGGGGCCCCTGGATCAAATCCCCCCTCCGCCGGTTCACGCCGTCATGGACTTTTACCAGGGTTGCTTGTGATTGCCTGCTACCTTTCATTCACCCCCTCCTCTCTCAAGTCACTCAAAACGTGGCTTTTGTTTGGCTGACAAGAACCTGTGCAGGAACTTTACGGCGAGTTTGCAAATGCCCGACGCAAGGGCAGCGGTCCTGAGGCCACTCTGGTTGGCAACAGCAAACAAAGGCAAAACAAAGGAATGGCGGGCAAAATAGACTCAGGTGACCTCAATGTATTTTGTCAACGTTTCTTATTTTTTTGCATTTTAGGGCAATGTCGTGATCATGTCGGGTCTGTGAACCTTGGCAGGCCATGCGGGTGTTCCAGGACAGCCTGATGGCACTGGAAGGTATCATGGCGGCTGAGGGCATGCGCCACGAGGGAGGTGCAGTGGGTGGAGGGTTCGCATAGTTGTGCACAGTCTTTCACTTTACCAGTGCCAACTTCAGGCTATGTTTCAAGATGTTCCACGCCTGTAGAAAGTAGACAATCTCAAGACCCATGAGCTTGTGCAAAATGCAGAACCCAGCACTACGGATGCCGGCTACACTTCTGCAAGCACACAGCTCAGCAGTGTTTGGGCGGAGGGGAACAGGATGGATGGTGCTACGTGCACACCAAAAAACGCGCTTCATTATATATTGGGGTGGAATTGACCTTCCAGCTGCAGCTACAAATGGTGTACTGCCACCTAGGCCAAGCCAGTTCTGGCAGTTCCGGCAGTGATGGTGAGGAAGGAAAAGGCCTGTGGCCTGTCATGCAAGCACCTGTTTGATGATTCAATGAGCTTTTGGTCATGCTGCCCCCTATTGGAATCCGTTAGGAAGCCGGATAGAGAGTGCCAAACATTCATATTGATCAAGTACACAATTATGCAAAGCAGAATTGTTTGTCTTCTTGTATGCAAATGGGTTAGTTACAGTTACAGGTTAAAACATGTTAAAACTTAAGACATAGCTTTTTCTTGCGGGTGAGGTGCACTGGATCCGAAATCGTCCTCAGAAATGAAACATCCAATTGCCTGAAAGGCCTAGAGGTTGCTCCTGTCAGGTGAATACTCCTGGGATGGCCGACGCTTGTGGAAGACTGAAACTGCTGCAGCTTGGCAGCGCTTCTGAGAAAGAATTTCTCAGCGAGCAAAGTCGTATGACAAAGTTCAGGACCTTAAGAGTCGAGCTTCATCTTCTTTGTGGGCTCGACATGTGACCTGGAGAGACCCATTTGAAGCCGTCCCTGGAAAGTCTGGACATGACTTTTGTCCTGCTTAGACTTTGGAGGTGCAAACTGGACATGCTTTGGGTGCGCAAAGTGCACAAAATTGTGCAGAGTCGCACATATGAAAAACAAGAAGCAACATACGATCATATGTGTATGTACATATGTATATATGAACACATGATGGTGTAGCATTTGCTGCGTAGTGCCTGTCTGAAAGCATTCGGTCAAGGTTCGCCTCTTCTCAAAGAAAGGCAACTTGGAGCCTTGGCAGTTGGCCAGGAAGCCCGGCAGACCATGAGAATTCGGTAGGCCGACTTGTCGCAGGTTCGGCAAAAGGAGATTTTGCAAAACCGTTCTTCTGCTATTTCGCAAAGTTTTTCTTTGGTTCAACATGTTTGACGCAGTGTAGGCAATGGTAGGCATTTGGAACAATACATTCAGCGTACTCTGAGATCAACATCGTGCAACTTGTGATTTGCTTTACTTGGTTCTTCCTGATCCTTTGCATGGTCGTGGCTTGGGCAGCAATCAAGCTGTGTGGTCAACAGAAGGAATTGACGAGGTGTTGCCGCGTTGCCAGGTAACTTTCAAAAAGAGTTGTGACATCCACATTGCAAATTTATATCGCAGTATGCGCAGCTTAGCAATGAAATGAAGAGATGAAGGAAGAGTTCTTTCGCACCTTGCATCTCAGTTGGACGTCTTCATCGGAGACCAGGGCCTTGTCACAGCTCCCCACTGGTCGCGTCCTCCGATGTCACGACTCTCATTTGAGCCTCACGAGCTCGGAACTCCCTTGGGCTTCCCATGGTATGCAGGCGCTTAAGTTGGCCACTTCTACAGCACAGCAAAGTTGAGTAGCAGAGAGTGGTAATGAAAACTGAATGAACGCAGAAGGCGGTAGAAGATGGTAGGGCGGTGGCGTAGCGACGTAGCGTGGCGGTGGCTGCGGTACCCTGTGGTACTTGGCTGCTAAGATTTCGGGGATGCTCCAGTGTGCCCGGCACCATACAGGCGCAAAGCCATGGCTGCCAGAGCAGATGGCCTGGCACGAGGAGAAGACATGAAATCAATGAAAGATGAGAAGTGTTGTGTTATTGAGTGACATATGACATATGAAGTGATAGTGCACAGCGGAACTATGAAAATTCACAATGCATCGATGCATCCACCGATTTGTATGATGCTGCATGATTGCTCTTGAACATGAGGCGCTGGAAATACATTTTCATCATGACCATGACTTGCTAGGAGAAGCGCGAGGCCAGCAGCGGCTTCATCAGTCCTCCACATTCAGGTTGCGGGTATAGAGACGCCTCATATTCTGCAAAAACATATGATTTTAACTTACAGATGAGTTCTTTGTATCGTTTTCTTCTCGCTTACATGCCTGTGCCTTTCCCAGGAGATCACGAGGGTGGTGGTGGACACTCCGGCTTGCACTTCAGTCGTGAGGGTGTCCGACGGCTCTCAGGCGCTTTGATGGGTGCCTCTCAAATTAGGAACCTTTTGAGGGTGTAGGTTTATACTTTATACAGGTTTCTGTACATTTGTTCCCACAAGTTGGGAGTTGGAGATTCCAAACATTTGACAAATTTGGATGTGAACATGTGAACCCAGTGATGCCCTACACCAAGTTGCAGCGATCCAGGTGTCGCATCTCCTGCTCGCTTGGCCCTGCAAGACCTGCTTGACTTCATGCCAGGCTGGATCTATGGAATCCTCCCATCTCCAAAAGATTGGACTGAATTCCCACAGCCACAGTGTGTGCTCCTACGTCAATCATAAGAACACCAAACAGCAAAGCATTGGATCCGGTCCTTGTCAGCCTGGATTTGCTTGAATCTGCCAGAGGTTCGCAGCCAGCAATGGAGACACCGAAGCCCATCAGCTGGCCAAGCTTTTTCGAACCACGAGTGCTTGCCTGTGGTCCTCGAGGTATTGTGGGAGCCCAAGACAGCGACTGATTCAAAGAGGTGAGGCAGACTTGTTCCAACTATTTTTGTGATATGATGTGTCTTCATTGATTTGCCAACACGCTTTGCCTTACTTTGATTGCTGTTTCTCCAGCCTGTAAGATGTAATGTCAGAAAGACATGCACACCCACCAAAATCATCCACGCCCTTTGGCAAATCATTTGTGGCGCTCAGGGAACAATACGAACTGCATGAGCACAAGTATTGTCATAGAGTCGTAGAGGATCGTAGAGGAATCTCGTGTCATGTTTTGAGGAATCTCGACTGGTCGAGATGTAGACTTCGACCTAAGGCCACCTTGACTCCACGTGGCGTCGGAGCATTGATTCACCAAAACAATGCTCAGCGCTTTCACCTGGCAGGGCCTGGAGACTTAGGATAGTTTTGGATAGCCTTAATGATTTGCAAAAGTACTTGAATCAATTAGCCCGAATGCCCTTGCCCCTCTGAAATCTTGCTGAAATGTATGACAGCAGAAATCGGCAGGCTTTAGGCTCCCAAGGAGGATCAAGCAGGTTTCTGGAAGGTAGACAAAACCTGTGATTTCGGCAGTTGCAGTTCCGAAGCCCAAATCAGGCTCACTCATTTGCCGCCGCTGCTTTCTGCGGCCTTCCATCCTCATGCAAAGGACACTGTTACTCTACTAAGTCAAGTGGACTTGTGAAGAACAGTTTCTCTCTAGTCACTACTCTGCGTGCTGGAGCTTGGGAAACAGTCTTCCTTCACCGTTCTTCCTTTTGAATAATGCAGCATAGTCTGTCCACTTGGGTAGGGTTGCAAAGGAAGTGTTGAAGTGATCAAGTGCGGCGGAAGTCTATCCAAGAAGTTCATTGTTTTTTAAGGTTCTGACGAGTGGTTTGAGTGGTCACAGAGGGTTCTACCTCCCATGTTTGGTCTTGCAGGATTTGATCACTGTGCCAGGAGCTCATGGTAATCACACGCCAAGGTCATATGGCCTCATGCCCAGAGCCTTTCGGAGCGCCTTGGCTGAGACGAGTTCTTTTAGTCGGGGGGGTTAGGCCGTAAGTACTGGTACCTGCTACCCCCGCTTGAGGGCGGGGAGTAGCTTTCTTGGGTTCCTAGACTTTTTGGCCCAAGTCAATGCTCAAAGGAACATTATCAAGGAGTAGACAAGTGATGACTTGCTAGACTTCTAAACCAACAGACCCACCTTAAAAGAGACAACACGTTTTAAAATGTTTTGAAGTGCAAAGGAGGAATTCAGATGGATGCAGTGATAGCAGCATGCACATGCAGCGCCATGCAAGAATCAGGAGGGTAGGGCCACTAAGCTCTTTAGCTCTCTTCAGCTTCACCTCACATTGGACTCCAAAAGTCTTCCCAAGACTGCTGGTCTTGAGGTGTCTCACTGTGCGGCCCATCAGGGTTTGCCAGTGCCACCGGGCACACGCCTGGTGGCAGCAGCTGCAGGTTGGCTGCGTTGGAAGCCCGGATGGTCTGGCCAGTTCTTCTAATTTTGATCATGCAATGGTTCTAATCGGTTTCGATTTGATTGACGATCCACTAACAGTTGACCGCTTCTGGCGAAGATTCTTACAGCCAAGCAGAGACTCCCAGGCCCTCATGAGTCAGCCGAAGCACATCTTCATGTGGCCTTCATCGATGAGGACAGTGCTTTATGTTGCAGAAACCCTGACACTTGTGCCCTGGGTGGCCTTCACTCTAAGAGGATGTTTTGTGTCGGAGAAGACTAAAACAAGTGAAACAAGCTTCGACCTGAAGGCCATGCCCGAGATGGTGGCGATCTTTAAACACAAGAAGGCAACTGGATTCTTTGGCATGCTTGTTATTGGACATCAGACGGTCACTCCAAAATGGGTTCAACAAGGATGTTTGAGGAGAAGACCCTTTCGGAATCTGGGTGGTTCTTTGGGAGCAGAGGGCACTTGGTGCTCTGGATTCGATGGCTTTTTTGAGTTACTTAGTTACTTGTTAACTAAGTTCGTCTGAACTCCAGTAGATCCCTCAAAAGGGCCACTACAAGCAGTGTGCTTTTGTATGTACTACCCAGGTTACTTCAAAGCTTGGCTTGGGCGGATTGAGAAGCAGGGTTGGAAGCGAATCAGCTACCCGTCTCAACCTTTGATCAGTCGTGCCAATCGCACGTAGAACCAAGCCTGAAGGTGTTCAGGGATGCGGACAGACTGGCAGGACTGACAGACGCAGGACTTGCTCTCTTTCCCTCCCTAGGCTTCTCAGAAATTCTATGAACTTCTAAGCATTCTGCCTGAACGGATTGGGTTACTGGACCGAAGGTCAGTCCGGGTGAGAAGACTTGATCTTGTCATATACTTGTTCATCGTGGGCATTCCTTGCACCACTTTGTGCCTCACTGACCGTTTGATTCGTAGTCTCCACAGGCGGAGGGCGTCTGGCATCCTCTGGGTGAGTTGCCAGTGCCAGAAGAGGTGCACGAAGGAAACCCCAAGGTTCGCCGAAGCGAATCGACGGCGAAGCCAGGATGTTTGTGTTGGTTGGATGCTCCTTCTTCTATATGAACACCTGTTGTGCCCGTGGGTACTATCGTGAATGTTCGTCTAGCACAACCAAAATGTGGCCATTTTGGCTGGAAGCCCACCAGCCATCCTCCTCGTTGTTTACAGCGGGGGGAGAATGGCTGGGTGGGAGAGAGGTCGTGGCCATCAGATGAAGAGGTCAGAGGCAGCGTTGTCGCCTCGGCCCGGCAGCGCAAAGCTGGGTAAGACCTCTGGTCTGATGGCCATCGGCGCGTGGGCGGCCCGCGTAGAAATCGCAAAGATGATCGAGGCAGGAGTTCCTGCCAAAGAGATTCTGAGCGAGATCCGAAAGGGAGAAGAGGGAGACTTTCCCCTCCCCTCTTTTGAGCAGACGGTCACCCACTCTGGCTCTTCGACTCCTGGGAGTAGTGCCACCCCGCGCCCAGGAAGAGATACGGGGGTGAGTTCTACGACATCCAGATCCGAACCACCCCGGGGAGTTCCTTGGGAGAAACCGCGACATGGGAGCCCCGTGTCAGTATCCCCGACTTCAGCTGCGGGAGGTCACTCTTCAGGTCTGCCCGAGTGGGCAAAGAAAGGAGATGGACCCCGTATGACGTTCCGCAAGCAGGCAGTTGCACCAGCTGAGGCAAATTTGTCAGACTGGGCAAAACCTGAGGCGAAAGAAGCTGACAAGAAGAGTGAGAGGGCCGCAGAGTCGGAGTTCGAGTACACCCCCACGGAACCCATAGCGGAATTGGTTGAGAGTGGCATCTTCAAGAACTTCAAGAAGAAGGCGGAGCCTCCCGAACGTGAATGGGAGCTTGTCGATCAGGCCCGTGGTTACGTTCCGATTAAGTTGCCCTCACGGTCGAACCCCCTGGAGACAGAGAAGTTGGAGACCTTCCGTTCTTTGTCCAAGGCGCTTTTTGAAGAGTTGGTTGTCTTGAAGATAAAGATGGACCTGGTAGAGACTGTGGTAGAAGGTGGGGAGTTGTTGGAAGATAGATTCCACATCCTCACCGAGCCACGGTCGGCCGGAACAGGTCTTCGGTATGCAAGGCTTCTCAAGCGCTATGTTGACGCATACCAGGAGCATGGCGACCCCGAGAAGGCACCCCAGGACCTCTTCAGCGAGGGCTTCATGCAAAAATTCATCCTCCAGCTCATTTCGGATGGATCAGGTTTCCGCACCCCGCAGAGCCTCGTGTATGCGATTGAGCACTTCGGTGGCGTCTTCGGTTTCGAGACACCGGGACCGAGGCACGCTAGAATCCGAAAGATGGCGAACGACTACTCAGCAAAGGCGCCTGAACGAAACCCAGCTCCCCTTTTTGAAGTGGGCATGCTGGAGTACCTTGAGGGTGTAGTTTTGGACTCCGGGCGAGATCTCCAAACTAGGGTTGCCTGTGGGAAGCTGAGAGTCTGCATTCAGGCGAGTGTTCGACACAGCGACCTAGGTGGCACTTCTATGAGCGCGGTTGAGTGGTGTCGGCCTGTTGGACGCACAGAGATTTTGGGGTTGAGGGCAAAGGCCGCCTACACCAAAAGCGGTCCCAGACCTTGGGCTGCCGCGTGGGTGGCGGTCTCTGCTAGCAACGATCAGTGGCTTTTTGTGTGGGTTGATCTTCTGATAAAAATGCACAACTTGGCTAGCGGCTTCCAAGGTGATGAGGGTTGGAAGAAACACGACTTCGTTGGCTGCGCGTCGGACAACATGGGAGGCTTTCGTACATGTCCTCCCCTGATCACAGAGGATACGCTTGTTGTCAGGAAGTGCTTGATGGACGACCTTGAACAAGGCAGGGACGTCCCGCTTGACGAGGCCGCGATTAGGAAGCTGAGGTGGCATTCATGCAAGAACACAATCCCCTCATGGTCCACTTTGGAATCACTCCACGTACAGTGAGGTATCAAGGAGCCTGGAAGAAGGCTTCACAGGCTATGAGCGATTTGTACCTGCGAGAGTCGCAGAGTATTGTCCTGAAGGCGCAGTGGCGCGTGATGGATCAGATTCGACGAGGCGCAGCTGTTCAATCGCTGACCGGCGTAACGCTGGATCATAGACCACTGAAGCCAGACTGGGGCACCGTCAACGATTACCTCCTATCCGGGAAAGTTCCCGAGTTCCAAGGAGGAGAGCCTTTCTTAGGAGCCATGGAGCGTGCCGTGATCTGCACCGAGAACCCAGACACTGGGAATCCGGAATTGCAGCTCCAGCGTGCGCCGGCGACTTTGGATGTGCGAGCTGAACTTCGTGGAGTAGGAGAAGGAGACGAGGAAGGTCTGCAAAGCGTGGTGAGCCAAGAGGCAGAGCTTGTCAAAGAGGGAGCGCAGGAGTTCTCAGATGCCGCACTCTCGGACCTCAGCTCCCCGAGCTCAGGTGACGATTCTGACGACTCATACATCGACCCGGAGCAAGGTGACATTGACTTTTGCCCACACTTTATCCAGCTCTCCACTGGGTACGGAAGGATCCACAAACCCGGAGAAGGCTTGCTGGCGGAGAAACCGGCTTGCAACGCAGTTGGAAAGCGCTTCACCAGGCTCGTCCTCGATGAGGATTGGGGGACTGGGTATGACCTTTGTGAGCGCTGCTTCGGAAGGGTCCAAGGATGCAAGCTGCTGTGCGACTACAGAACGCAGCGGAAGGGCTTCATGATCCGCTGCTCGCGCCGCTGCTGCCCTGAGGCCGTGCCAGGCCACGTGAGCCCAGAGGATCCAGGTTTCGAGCTGAAACTGGGCGGGCACAGGTGCATGTTCCATGGGATACCTGCTTAGAAAGGCCATAAGCCTGAGCAGGATAGAGAACCATGGCTGCTGAGACGGGAGGAAACTCTCCCTACCTTTACACCGTAGTGCAAAAAATTAAAGCGCCGGTTGATTTTTATTGAGCCATGCAGCCATGCGGTCCCGGTTTGCATGTTTACTCTATCCTTCGGGGTTACAAGTTCACATGAGAAAACTGGAGGTTCCACGGGGGAAACCATATCCTTTCGTTTGGATGTGATTGAAGGTGCGGCTAGATGAAGACGTCCGTACGAGTTGTCCCCTGTGAGTTTTCTGCGGCCCGAGTGGGACTTACACCCAGTCGCCCCGAGTGGGAGTCCTAATTCTAAGTAGCCATGGCCGATGCGAAGTCCACCATCGCGTTCGGAAGGGCAGCAGCTTCGTTCGATGTCCATGAATCGGATTTTCTGGTTCTAGGTTTGGACAATGTGAACACTTCGGAGGCAATGGCCTTCAGATTCCCCACTGCCGCCGATTTTGACGAGTACCTGAAGAAGCAACTGCGAGTTAGAGCGGCATACCGTCCGGATGGGGGAGCAGTGACTGGGTTTCCAAGGCATCCCGTGGAAAGCTGGGAAACCTATCGCTCTTCAGAGGACGTAGGCTGCTTGCGCAAGTTGTGGGCCTACGCAAACCAAGTGGCAAAAAGGAACACGGAGAGGATGGCAGGTGAGGACCCAGAGTCAAAGTCGAAGGTGACGGTCGCCCTGGGACAGGAGCTGGAGGACAAGGCGATCAACTCTGGGATGCCCTCACCAATGTCGGACAGGGACAGGCCGTCTCTGCACACCCTGAGCAAAGTTCAAAACAACTTTGGCCCGGGGGGAAACTTCCAGCATCTTTCATGGGAAACATACGTTGACATGGAGACAGAGAGCAGGCTTCGTCGTGCTGGAAAGTTGCCAAAAGACAAGAAGGAAGTAGTCATCTCCGACAAGAAGTTGACCCTCAACGAGAAGGACGAGGACTTCCCAGAGACCCCGAAGATTGTCGACATCCTGACCCTGAAAGATGTCCTCGAGTTGAGGGCGAAGGCATGGCACATGATGGAAGTTGTTCTCCATCAGGATGCAATGCTCTATCAGGAAAAGTTGATTGGCACTTTGAGGGCAACCGTTCCAGATGGGATGAGGCCCCCGACAATCAACGAGGCCAGGCGTTGCGACAGGGAGATTATGAACGAAGTCCTGAAGGTCGTCGCAAAGGGTGCAAGCTCGGTGGGGGCAGGACTCCGCCACTACGCCGAGTTGGGGGACGGAGAAGGTCTATGGAAGCTCCTCCAAGCCCAACCGGAGTCTTTCCCGGATCAAGGGCTTGAGAAAGGATCGCAAAAGAAAGGGCCGGCCGGAGCAGATCCCGGTAGAGGCCGGAAGCGCGATCTTGACGACCAGAGCGACAAGACGACAGATGACGCAAACAAGGCCAGGATGTGCATGATTTGCAAGAAGCGGCACGAGCCTCGTTGCGAAATTCCCCCTGGTTGGAGGAAGGCCCAAAAGGAGCAGAAGAAGGCGGAGAAGTCAGCATCGGCGAAGTCGAAGAGCGACCCCGCGAAGGACAAGGGAGGCAGTGGCAAGAAGCCATAGGGATTCGCCCGCCCCAGGACGGACACAACTCCCGTTCCTGGAGTGAGGGCAGACTTCTTCCGAAAGGGATTAAGAAGAGTTGCGCGACCTTGGGATCTGTTGCGGGGCAGGGACGTGTTTCGAGACCGGATCGAGCTTGATTCGGAACTCGTACTACACGAAGTCCAGCACTGGGCACCCAATTGTTGCACTTTTTCTCGGGCGAGGGAATACCCTATCCCCGGAGTGGCAAACCCGCCGAAACCCCTCAGGAGTGAATCTTTCCCTGAAGGGATTCCAGATGTAGTCGAGCACCTCCCGGTAGCAAAGAGACGGAAGCTAGCCCTCGACACCGACATGGCGAATCTTGCTGCTGACAGGTGCTTGGACGCCCATCGAAGTGGGCGCTACTTTTCGCTCGAGAACCCCAAGAACTCTCTGGCTCGCCACTTGACCAAGTGGAGGCAGCTGGAAAGGGAACCCGGGGTTCTAACCACCTTCTATCATGCGTGCATGTTCAGCCCCTGCAAACGTAGGAAGGCACAAGTTTTAATTCATAATATCCCAAACCTGGTTGAGAGGGTAGGTCTCACATGTGAAAACAGTCGTTTATGTTCTCGTACCGGGGAGAAGCACTTGCCCTGGAGACCCACGGTTGTTAACGGTCGCGTGTCTTCGTTCGCCACGGCCGACGAACGAGAGTACCCACAGGCCTTTTGCGAAGCTTTCGCTAAAGGTTTAACGTTCGCCGAAGGGACCTCCCCGTCGAGTTTCGTAGAGGTTTTTTCTGGGCCCAACGCGCCCCTCTCCAGAGCAGTTGCCCTGGAGTGGAATATTGATCCACCCCCGAGGGCTCAATCCCAGGGACGTCCTGGAGTCGAACACTCGGAGACTCAGACTTTGACGGACACCATAATTTTTACACCGAATCTAACACGGGTTGAGCACGAACAGGACGCTGAGATTTTAGGGCCTCCTGAAAATCCCGTGCAAGTTGCTGAGCCACTGAAGCGCTATAGGACTCATGCAGTTGAAGCGGGGAGTCAACCCAGCTTCGGCAAGAGGATGCAACTGATCGCTGACGGACTTTGTGACCCGGCGGAACACCTGCGGTTGGCAAAAGGCTTGGATCACCCTTTTGATTCTCTTAAGTCGCTCAAGCCAGAGCACGCCGCGGCAATCGCAGAGTTCGTCGACGCACAGAATTTGATTTCTAGAAGGTTGGATGCACTGCACATGTTGAAAACTTGGGCAAAGGAGTTGAGAGGGGGACAGTCACAAGTTAATAAAGGTGCTTCTTGGACTGCCAAGAAACTAGGCACCAAGGTGAATACGCTCCTTATGGAACGTCTCCAGGACCTCCTGAACATCGAGGATAAGCGAGTTCCAGAGTTGTGCTTGAAAGGACTAAAAATCACAGGCAGAGCTCATGAGTCGCCTTTCTTCGAACGGTTGGAGGTCAGCCCAAGTATGTCGCAAGATGAGTTCATCGCAGGTTGCAGTGAACGATCAGAACGAATGATTGATCGAGTCCGATACATGGCAGAAAAGGGATCCAAGGAGTTGGCTTGTGCCATCTGGGAAAAGACCCAGAAGGAAGTCAAAGCCGGCACCATGGGCCCGGCCATGACTTTACAGCAGGCGAGGTCCTTGTATCCAGGTCCACTCCAGGTCACGCCGAGCTTCGGCTTGGAACAGGGACAGGACGCTGAGGGTCAGAAGAAATACAGAAGGATTGATGACCACGCTGCATCCGGAGTGAATCAGGCAGCACATCGAATGCAAAAGGTGCCCATGGTTATGGTGGACTACGTGGGCGTTCTATGTAGAGCTTTAGCCAGATCTGTTGAACAGATCTCGATGGCTACTGAGGATATGAAAGGTGCATACAGGCAGATCCCACTCTCACCAGAGGATGTACGCTTTGCAATCACAGCTGTCTACAACCCGGAGCAGCAGGAGGTGTCGCTCCACGAAATGTACGGACAACCTTTTGGGGCAGGCCATGCCGTGCCAAATTTTTGTCGTGTGGCAGAGTGGATAGCGAGAGTGATCCAACGATTATTCTCTTCGACCACGGACCACTTCTTTGACGACTTCTTCGTTGTGGAACCAACCGCAACCATTAAGTCTGCTGTTTTCTGCCTTAGGGAGACGTTTCAAGTTCTCGGATTCCAGCTGGACCCGGAGAAGTCGCAACCTCCAGCCGAGGTATGTGCCATCCTGGGAGTTTGCTTCAACACCGAGTCTTTGCACAGTCAAAAGATTATCCATGTCACAGCCAAGGAGTCTCGCCTGGCTTTCCTCCAAGACACCATTGACAGGGTCTTGAGTGCAGGTCGGCTTTCTCCCGCCCTCGCAGGTAGCCTGGTCGGGAAGTTCCAATTTTTATGTTCCACACTCTTTGGGCGCGTGGGACGTTGTTGTACGGGGCCGCTTCGTCGCCGACAATACGCCTCGTATCCAGTCGAGACTTTGACGGCTGAGCTCATCCTGGCCTTACGCCAGATGAAGTGCTTCCTTTCCACGAGTCCATCCCGTGAGTTGAAAGTTCATCACATCAACCCCATCCTGCTATACACAGACGCCTCGGATGTTCCCGAGCGTGTACCGCAGCGAATATTGGGAGCCTTTCTTCACGACCCCATCGACGAATATTCTGGGTACACGGCCTGGCCCGTCCCGGAAGCCCTCGTTGAGAAATGGCTTCAACGCAAGTCATTCATGGGCCAGCTGGAGCTTCTGGCAGCCCCGGTAGCTTTTGAAACTTGGCGTACCCGCCTGCAGAACCGCTCAGTTTTTCTCTTCTGTGACAATGACAGCGCTTCAGCGAATCTGGTTCGCGGCTACTCACCCCAGGTCGATAGTTCTTCCATCGTCGGGGACTTTTGGCTGACAGTAGCCAGGCTGAAAGCATCTGTCTACATAGACAGAGTTGAGAGCAAATCAAATCTTGCAGACGGCCCTTCTCGTTTTAATTTTTCAGAGGTCCGCGATTTGGGAGCAGCTTGGACACGTCCCGATCCCGGCGTGTTGGGACGAACCCCCACACCCCTGCATCCCAATGTGGCGCACTGGAGCAGCGGGGGGGATAGAGTTACAACACCAGAGCGCCCCTAACGTGGCCACCGGGGGGAGAATGCTCTGGGTGTCGACTCTACGGGTGAGCAACTCTTGTTGTAGGTCCACAGGGCACACGCATGGGTGCTAGATGTGGATATCAA